TGTGGCTGTCTGAGGCGGGGGACTGGCCGAGTCTCGTGGGCGCTTTGCTGATCTCTCCTCTCAACGCGGAAGAGGGGGCCCTTCTCTTGCCATCCTCTTCCTAGGCGTGTCTCGTGGGCGCTGGTTCAGCTGGGTCTGGCCTGGCGTAAGCCCGGAGCCTGGCTCCAAGTTCGGCTGGGGGGGGTGGCTTTCAGACAGCCTTGGTGTCCCAGTGTTCAGTGAGGCTTCCATGCTGGGGGAGGGGCTATACACCTGGGATTACCGAGACCCGTGAACGCGGGGGGCTCTGAGTCAGTCCATTTGACCCCGGGGCAGCCACTCTCCAGGTGCTTTCTGCCTGGCCAGGCACTTAGCGTGTGTGCTGGGTGCTAGTGCAAAGCACTTGTCACGTCACAACCCCACCTCCCTAGCGACTGAGGCCGCGCTAGACACAGGGACTGCTCAGGGGGCCACGGGTAGGCATTGAGCCTCCCAAATGCAGGATCAGCTCGAGTCTCTGCTTCTGCTCGGGGGAGGCGGGGGGAAGGGAGGAACAGAGTCTTCCAGCAGCCTGTGCTTTCCCCTCTGCAGAGACAGGTGGAAGTGAACGTTCGCAATAAGATCCTGTACCTGATCCAGGCCTGGGCTCACGCCTTCCGCAACGAGCCCAAGTACAAGGTGGTGCAGGACACCTACCAGATCATGAAGGTGGAAGGTAAGGCCTGTGTGGGGAAAGGTGGCAGCAGAGGGTGGGCCATGGAGAGCAGGTGGCAGTACCAGCCGGCGTGGAAGTGGAGAAGGCGCAGACGGGTTTACGTTCAGTGCCGTGCCGGCTGGCGTGGGAGCAGAGTGGGCCCAGATGGGTTTACGCACCGTGCTCTCTGGCGTGGCAGTGGAGCGGGCACAGACGGGATTATGTTCAGTGCCGTGCTGTCTGGCGTGGAAGTGGAGCGGGCGCAGACGGGTTTATGTTCAGTGCCGTGCTGTCTGGCGTGGAAGTGGAGCGGGCGCAGATGGGTTTATGTTCAGTGCCGGCCGGCGTGGAAGTGGAGCGGGCGCCGACGGGTTTATGTTCAGTGCTGTCTGGCGTGGTAGTGGAGCGGGCGCCGACGGGTTTATGTTCAGTGCTGTCTGGCGTGGTAGTGGAGCGGGCGCCGACGGGTTTATGTTCAGTGCTGTCTGGCGTGGTAGTGGAGCGGGCGCCGACGGGTTTATGTTCAGTGCTGTCTGGCGTGGTAGTGGAGCGGGCGCCGACGGGTTTATGTTCAGTGCTGTCTGGCGTGGTAGTGGAGCGGGCGCCGACGGGTTTATGTTCAGTGCTGTCTGGCGTGGTAGTGGAGCGGGCGCCGACGGGTTTATGTTCAGTGCTGTCTGGCGTGGTAGTGGAGCGGGCGCCGACGGGTTTATGTTCAGTGCTGTCTGGCGTGGTAGTGGAGCGGGCGCCGACGGGTTTATGTTCAGTGCTGTCTGGCGTGGTAGTGGAGCGGGCGCCGACGGGTTTATGTTCAGTGCTGTCTGGCGTGGTAGTGGAGCGGGCGCCGACGGGTTTATGTTCAGTGCTGTCTGGCGTGGTAGTGGAGCGGGCGCCGACGGGTTTATGTTCAGTGCTGTCTGGCGTGGTAGTGGAGCGGGCGCCGACGGGTTTATGTTCAGTGCTGTCTGGCGTGGTAGTGGAGCGGGCGCCGACGGGTTTATGTTCAGTGCTGTCTGGCGTGGTAGTGGAGCGGGCGCCGACGGGTTTATGTTCAGTGCTGTCTGGCGTGGTAGTGGAGCGGGCGCCGACGGGTTTATGTTCAGTGCTGTCTGGCGTGGTAGTGGAGCGGGCGCCGACGGGTTTATGTTCAGTGCTGTCTGGCGTGGTAGTGGAGCGGGCGCCGACGGGTTTATGTTCAGTGCTGTCTGGCGTGGTAGTGGAGCGGGCGCCGACGGGTTTATGTTCAGTGCTGTCTGGCGTGGTAGTGGAGCGGGCGCCGACGGGTTTATGTTCAGTGCTGTCTGGCGTGGTAGTGGAGCGGGCGCCGACGGGTTTATGTTCAGTGCTGTCTGGCGTGGTAGTGGAGCGGGCGCCGACGGGTTTATGTTCAGTGCTGTCTGGCGTGGTAGTGGAGCGGGCGCCGACGGGTTTATGTTCAGTGCTGTCTGGCGTGGTAGTGGAGCGGGCGCCGACGGGTTTATGTTCAGTGCTGTCTGGCGTGGTAGTGGAGCGGGCGCCGACGGGTTTATGTTCAGTGCTGTCTGGCGTGGTAGTGGAGCGGGCGCCGACGGGTTTATGTTCAGTGCTGTCTGGCGTGGTAGTGGAGCGGGCGCCGACGGGTTTATGTTCAGTGCTGTCTGGCGTGGTAGTGGAGCGGGCGCCGACGGGTTTATGTTCAGTGCTGTCTGGCGTGGTAGTGGAGCGGGCGCCGACGGGTTTATGTTCAGTGCTGTCTGGCGTGGTAGTGGAGCGGGCGCCGACGGGTTTATGTTCAGTGCTGTCTGGCGTGGTAGTGGAGCGGGCGCCGACGGGTTTATGTTCAGTGCTGTCTGGCGTGGTAGTGGAGCGGGCGCCGACGGGTTTATGTTCAGTGCTGTCTGGCGTGGTAGTGGAGCGGGCGCCGACGGGTTTATGTTCAGTGCTGTCTGGCGTGGTAGTGGAGCGGGCGCCGACGGGTTTATGTTCAGTGCTGTCTGGCGTGGTAGTGGAGCGGGCGCCGACGGGTTTATGTTCAGTGCTGTCTGGCGTGGTAGTGGAGCGGGCGCCGACGGGTTTATGTTCAGTGCTGTCTGGCGTGGTAGTGGAGCGGGCGCCGACGGGTTTATGTTCAGTGCTGTCTGGCGTGGTAGTGGAGCGGGCGCCGACGGGTTTATGTTCAGTGCTGTCTGGCGTGGTAGTGGAGCGGGCGCCGACGGGTTTATGTTCAGTGCTGTCTGGCGTGGTAGTGGAGCGGGCGCCGACGGGTTTATGTTCAGTGCTGTCTGGCGTGGTAGTGGAGCGGGCGCCGACGGGTTTATGTTCAGTGCTGTCTGGCGTGGTAGTGGAGCGGGCGCCGACGGGTTTATGTTCAGTGCTGTCTGGCGTGGTAGTGGAGCGGGCGCCGACGGGTTTATGTTCAGTGCTGTCTGGCGTGGTAGTGGAGCGGGCGCCGACGGGTTTATGTTCAGTGCTGTCTGGCGTGGTAGTGGAGCGGGCGCCGACGGGTTTATGTTCAGTGCTGTCTGGCGTGGTAGTGGAGCGGGCGCCGACGGGTTTATGTTCAGTGCTGTCTGGCGTGGTAGTGGAGCGGGCGCCGACGGGTTTATGTTCAGTGCTGTCTGGCGTGGTAGTGGAGCGGGCGCCGACGGGTTTATGTTCAGTGCTGTCTGGCGTGGTAGTGGAGCGGGCGCCGACGAGTTCTTGGTCAGTGCTGTGCCGGGCGGCGTGGAAGTGCAGCGGGCGCAGACGGGTTTGTTCAGTGCCGTGCTGTCTGGCGTGGCAGTGGAGCGGGCACAGACGGGTTTACGCGCAGTGCTGTCCGGCGTGGGAGCCGAGGGGGCACAGACGGGTTTACACCCATATTTATACCTGCTGGGTGCTGGAGCTGTTGTGGGAATGGCTTGAGGCTTGGGTGTGCCTGGGTTTCCCTGAAGCGCTGGGTGCACAGGAGGGCAGCGCCTGTTGTTTGGGCACTTGTGCTCCTTGCTATGCCGGGGTGAGGGGCTGCCAAGCCGCGTGAGACCCAGCTGGGCAGGACGCTGGCTTATCTCACTTGGAGTTCAGGCTCCTGACGCATTTTACCGGAGGGCCCTGCGTGGGCCCACGTTGCCTGGCTGGGCCAAGTGGTCAGTCGGCGTGAGCCCGACCTGGGCGCAGTGGGCTGCCCTGGACTCCCGTCGCCAGGAAAGGGACGTGTGCCCTCCCAGCCCTGGGAGGTCGGTGACGTGATGATGTGGAACGGCTGAGCAGGAGCCCAGCTCTGAGCACTAGGCACCGCTGCCCCCAGTGCGCTGGGCCCACGCTTCACTCGCACGTGTTCTGTGCTTCCTGCAGGTCACGTGTTCCCGGAATTCAAGGAGAGCGACGCCATGTTTGCTGCCGAAAGGGTGAGCTGCCCGGTGGGGAGGGGCTCTGGTGTTATCCAGCCACCTGCCGCTGCTGTCTCTGGCCACCCTTCAGTGGGAGG